CAAGGAATACTGCTTTCCATATTGACTGCACCAACTTACAGTCCCACCAGCAATGTATGAGTGTACCTTTCTCCCCACATCCTGGCCAACACTTATTGCTGTTTGTCTTCATAATAACTGTCATTCTGAGAGGGTTGAGATGGTATCTTAGAGTAGTTTTGATTTTCATTTCTCTACCACTGAGCCACAACCCCAGCCCTCAACTTTTTTCTTAATTATCTCATTTTCAAATACTTCTTCTCTTAAAATTTTTTTTCACAGGAAATTGGAGAGGTAGTAGAACATTTTTTCATATATTTGTTGACTGATATCATCTTCAGAGAAGTGTCTGTTCAGGTCCTTGGCCCATTTGTTTATTGGGTTATTTGGTTTATTTGATGCTTAGCTTTTTCAGTTCTTTATATGCTGTAAAGATTAGTGCTCTATATGATGTGTGAGGGGTAAAAATTTGCTCCCAATAACTGTGGAAGCAACCTAGATGCCCTTCAATAGATGAATGGATTAAAAAAATGTGGCATATATACACAATGGAATATTACTCAGCTATAAAAGAAAATAAAATCATGGCATTTGCAGGTAAATGGATGACATTGGAGAAGATAATGCTAAGTGAAGTTAGCAAATCTCCCCAAAAAACAAATGCCCAATGTTTTCTCTGATATAAGGAGGCTGAATCATAGTGGGGTAGGGAACGGGAAGCATGGGAGGAATAGATGAACTCTAGATAGAGCAGAGGAGTGGGAGGGGAAGAAAAGGGGCAGGGGGTTAGCAAGCATGGTGAAATGTGATGGACATCATTATCCAAAGTATATGTATGAACACACCAATTAGTGTGAACATACTTTATATACAACCAGAGATATGAAAAATTGTGCTATATATGTCTAATAAGAATTGTAACACATTCCACTGTCATTTATTTTTTAAAAAATCAATTTAAAATTTTTTTAAAAATTTAAAAATGTTGAAATACTAAACAAACAAACAAACAAACAAACCATCAAGCATATGAGAAGCTCCATTTAAAAAAATCTGGGGCTGGGGCTGTGGCTCAGTGGTAGAGTGCTTGCCTAGCA